TCAGAGCTAATTAAATGCATTGGCAATGGGTCAGTGACATAAATGGGTATGACAAGAGCAACTCAGAGAGGCTGAGTCTTTTAGAAGATGGTGAGGGCTTCACCATTCTGTGACTGACTTTATGGGAAAATTGTTCAACAATTTAAGAATGACACTACAAAGAAACTGGGGATTTCATCATCTATGTAATTTAACCCTAATCAGTAAAACGCGGGTCAGAAATGACCCTAAGCGTGAAAAAACGTTCATATTTTTTACAAATCTCAATCTATCAATCCCAATTTTTTTTTTTTGAGAACCAAATTTTGTTGTTTTACGGTGTGTAAAAAATTTTCAGGATCACTTGAGCGGTTTTTATGCATTAATAAAATTGTCAACCAGGTCAGTACTGACCCGAGCGAATGTTGTCACTTATTTCATGCTGAAATTCTGATTTTGTCAGCTAATATTAGTTTTCTTTTGCAGGAATGTAAAGAAGTGAACCATGGCAAGTAAAAGAACAAGATATACAACCCAAAATAATAGTCATGCTTTATCTAACTGTGCTTGCAATTATGAAGTTATTTGTGTCAATCAGTTACTATTGATTCATATTCAGTGGATATTATCTTGCTTATTACCTCATTTCATTCGAGCTGAGTTATTGAAAGGATTGTTTAAATATCCGAGAAAAACAAACTTTTTGTTTACCTTATATAAAAGGTAATTTTCATACAATGGTTTGACTGGTATGAGGTGCCAAAATCAGTCAAAATCGTTACTTTACGTTACTTGAAAATTCATAAAAAAGAAACTACTTGTTATACTTCTTTTATATTTGGTCTATAATTTCATTATTAGTGTATCAAGCATGAAATAAACTGTCAACAAGATTGTAATTTCAATGTTTGGGTTATTCAGGAAAACGAATTTTCAGTTTCACACTTTTCTACATATATGGAGAAATGTGAAACTTCCATATGGTTTTAATCCCATTTATTTCAAGCATACATAAAAGTAGAGAGTTTATCCTTTCAAATGAGCTACTGATCATTAAAATAGGAGCAGTATTAGATATTTTGTGAATTTTTTTAAATTTTTTTTTTTTTAAGCCAACATAAGTTTTTAAGTTTTACTGATGAGGGTTAATATCATATAATTATTCAGAAAATCTGGGAAATCTCTGTATGCAAGGGACAAGGCCAAAAACCAATATTGAATGGCTATGATCTTCAGGCCCTCGTGTGGCTCTGCATTAATGGAATACTATCACAGTAGGTGAAAATGCTGTTGAGGAATAATATGAAATCAAGCCTCTGGAATATGAAATCAGGCACCTCTTGAAAACAATTATTTGTCCTGACTTGTTCTCAACCATTTTCTAAATTAACAATACATTCACTCCAAGAACACCCCACACTATCAAGCGTTGCTAGTTCTCACCATTAAGGTAAGATGACAATCATTCATTTGGAAGTGTAATTTGGTGCATTTGATGCAAATCAGCGTTATTCAAAATTGCATACCTGTCAACTCTCATGCATATGGCCTGAGTCTCACGCTTTTTAGTGGCACATCACGTTCTCGCACTGCAGTCAGCAGTCTTACACTTAATAACAAAAGTGATGATTGAAAATTTTTATTTGGCAAGCAAAATTATATTTAATTGCTGAGTCCCACTTTTTAATCAATCCACGCCATACCAAGAGTGAAAAGTGTTATTTCATTGGAATGCGGAACATTCTATCATGCATATTTAAGAGATTCTCATGCGGAATTGAAGTCCTTGTGCATGAAGTTCTTCAGTTTCGCATGCGTTACAGTAGATTTCACTTCTGGTAAACTAGGAAACCGATAATGACTCCAGACTTGTCATGCTTCTCTTTTCTCAGGGTTGGAAGCAATGAAATTACATAAAGATGTTTCAAATGGTCTATTATTTCATTTCAAAAATTTAAATGATCATGAAGCGCAGGTTAGATCGCCTGATTTGCAGAAAAGGTAGCATGGAAGTTTAAGACCACTTTATCTTCCGTAAAGCATAGGCCTATTTATAAGTAAATTATTTTTCCGCCCTGGATTTAGCCCATTATTTCATCGCTGTTAAATTGCATGGGGGAGAGGAGCCATGTCTTCGATTGCCAAATTGATTATTACCATCATTGGAAAACGTTTTAATAAAGGAAAATGATTGAGAACTACCTCAGACAAATTGTTGTTATAAGGGGATGTATCTGTGCCCCCCCTCATTTTCTAGTTCTGGCTACCGTGGCCCACTGCTGCCGAATTTCTTTGCAGTCCCTTGTCTGTAAACTCTGGTTTGAGTATGAACCCTTCAACTTCGTTGTTTTTGGTATCCATCCTCCGCAGCAAACATATAAATCATGACCTAATGAAGGGACATGAAGAATCGTATGTGAGATCTGTCTGTATGCATAGTGTGTGTAGCGCAATCACATGACTCAAGGCAATAAGATGGCAGCCGCACTGACGTCGCAGCTCTGCCCTATTGGAGGTGCACAAACAAGGCAGGGTTAATAATATGGCGTGGGCCATTCAAGTCACAATAGCTCTAATTTTTATTTTCAATTGGCAATTATCCATATTCAGTGGATCAATGGGCTACAGGAACGGTTTGGTGATGAAAAGTTAAGGTCAGTGAATCTCTGAAGCTTAATATAGGGTGTCATGATAGTATTCCTTTAAAAACAACCAGGATTCTGTTGTGGAAATCAATGCATGAGCTCAGGAACACTTCTGAAAATCATTCTCAGTGAGCACAATTTGTTACAGCATCCACAAATGCAAGTTTAATATGTAAAGAAAAAAACCATAAATAAACAAGATCCAGAAATGCTGCCACCTTCTTTGGGCCTAAGCTCATTTATGATGGCCTGAGATGACACGCAAAACTATCCTGTGGTCTGACCAATCAAAATCAGATTTTTATTTTTTTGGAAATAAAGGATGCCACGTCCTCAAGGTTAAGAAGGAGAAGGAACATCTGGCTTTTTATCAGCGCACAGTTCAAAAGCCAGCATTCATGATAGTGTGGCAGTGCATTAGTGCATGTGGTATGGGTAACTTGCACATCTGTGCAGACAGCATTAAAGCTGGACAATATATAAAGATTTTGGAGCAACACATACAGCCATCCAAACATCTCTTTCTGGTAAGGCTTTGTTTATTTCAATCAAGACCTTGATGTGTAGAATCAGGTATACTGGTGTTGGGCTGTAACAAAAGCCAGCACCCACACTGGCCCTTTGTGGACTAGATTGGACACCCCTGAATTATGCTTTTAGGGGTCAGAGGCTCACTGCACACCATTGAAAATCTTCTAACGCTGGCGTTACCGCGAGGGAGACGTTGGGCTTTGGGAGTTAAAATGGAAACTAGGACGTTAAACACTTCAATCATATTCAGTGTAATGTAGGGACAACAGAACACTATAAACCTCATGTGTGAGCCCCTGTAAGCCCCCTGTCCTGTGAGGATTTGTAGTCTAGTTGGGGCTGTGACCTGCCGGGAGAGAGAAACAAAAGGAGATGAGCACAGTGAAGGTGTGGTGAAGGAGCAGCCATTGAAATGCCCCCCTTTTAGTGCTTTTGTAACACAACACTATAGCTGTTGATATGAAATACAATCTCCCTTCATTGGGCAGTCTGCTTTAAGTAAAGGCAGTGCGGGCTAGATGAATAATTGAATATAATGGGTTGAGAGATGTTATTTGAAGAGGTGACGTGATGAGCTGGATCACTTTTCTGGAGTACAAATCCAACTTCCATCTGCAAACCTTTTTTTTTGGGGGGGGGGGGTAATTAAAATGTTCCTGTTAAATATCACAATCTTTTCTTTTTTTTTTTTACCAAATCATTTGTGTTGGGAGTCATGTACAGTCAGGTCTATATTTATTTGGGCAGTGACACATTTTTCTTCACTCCGGCTCTGCACGACATCACAATGGTTTTGAAAGGAAATGACCACAATTGCCAAAAATACTGCGACCACTACAAATTACAACCATTTTTACAACCAGTCCCCCACCCTAACTGTTCAAGTAGGAACTAGCCCCCAGTACCAGGGGCAATCATTACACATCATAAATACAGCATGTTTCCTCATAGCAACATTTTCATGCGGAATATCAACTTAATGGGAAGAAACTGGGCAAAAAGCTTGTGTTAACCATTTTTACCTCAATTGAACGCAATTCAAGCACCAAGCAAGTAAATAAGCATGTAGCAAAACATAGGATAAAATAATATCAGTGCTTAATCACTAGAGTTTACTGAGTCTGTGCTAGACATACAAACAATACATCAAATTAAAGAGGAAAGTCCACAGAATCCATATCTTTTTGAATCAACACCATACTCAAAGGACAGCAGACATACACTTTACATTCTACAGAGATGAGCAAAAAATTTTCTTACCTTTGATATTTTCTGATAAAAAAACTGTTCGAGGGTAAATCTGCGCTTGCTATTGTTAGCTCAGTGTGTCTGTGTTATATCGAAACTAGATCTGCTAGTCTCCATGCATGTTTTTTTTCTGGGGCACTGCTTCAAAGGATTTCAGCTCCTGAGCATTCCGCTTGGTTGCAATGTATTTTTCCCACTGTGATCGGCTTGTGATGCTGTCAGTAAGACTTTGCGGGTGGCCATTTGATTCCATGGGCTCTGAAATTTCCAACGAGTCCTGAAACACCTTAATCGCACAAACCTAGCCTGAGATAGAGCCTCGCGTTTCCGGTGCATCAAGCTGAGTCCATGGGCCATTTACATGTACTTAAAGAACACGACAATATAATCGCTTAACTGGTCTGTCTGAAGTATTTTCGGTATGATTATCCGCTAAATATTCAACAGTCGTTTTCAAAGTCTTTTCTGACAGAGAATCCTTGCGCCATTAAGCACAAGCACTAAGACAGGCGGCAGCCCAAACGCTAAACTGGGGTGCATGACATGTTTCCTTGACTCACTCTTTATATCAGCAATTTGACAGTAGGTAGTCTTTTAGCTGATGTGGCCTAGTGGTTAAAGCGATGGGCTTTCACTTCAGAGATCAGGGTTCTAATCCTGGCATGGCATGCTTCTCTCTAGGCAGTGAAAGCATTATTCCTGTTTAAATAATTCCTGCGGTTTTTACTCTTCCCTAGTTTAAAAAAAAGCATTGAACCATATTCTTGGCCTTTATAGTGCTTGAGGCGCGAGGCTTTCTATGATACTAGATAAAAAAGCAAGTGAAAATGGCCTCTTATCTATGTTTTTGATAAATTACTCTAAAATTTGAACGGTTAAAGATTTCAACATTCTATTTTTTCAAAAATTTTTTTAAATTTTTTTTTTAATTTTAAATTTAACCCTTATTTAACCAGGGAAGTCCCGTTGAGATTGAAATCTCTTTTTCAAGGGAGCCCTGGGGGTTGAGGTGGGGAGGGAGATAGTAATTTACACAGCCAATTGGATCAGGGGATGATTAGGTGGCAGGTCGAAAGAGCCAGGTTGGGACTTTAGCCATGACACCGGGGAACCCCCTACTCTTATCGAAGAGTGCCATAGGATCTTTAATGACCACATGAGTCAGGACCTCGGTTTAACGTCTCATCCGAAAGACGGCAACTCCTTCAGTACAGCGTCACCGTCACTGCACTGGGGCATTGGGGAATTATTCCACGAGAGGGAAGATCGCCACCTACTGGCCCACCAACACCTCTCCCAGCAGCAACTTGGTTTTCCTCGGTGGTCTCCCATCCAAGTACTGACCAAGCCCACACCTGCTTAGCTTCAGCCACGCGGCTGGAGCAGCTCGAATAATGGTATGGCTGCTGGCAAAATATATAAAGGAAGTGCATGTCCTTCATTTTGGGGTAATATCTGCCATGGCTGCTTCTGCTCGTCAAGAAAAAAAATTTCAAAATTTGAGATTAGATATACTTCATTAAACCCTGTGAGCACATTTGTCGCTTGCATTTAACCCATTCTACGATTAGGAGCCACAGAGCAGTGCATGGCAACCAACTCCAGATCCTTAATCGGACAGGGAGTACATGCAAACTTCACACAGAGAGGCCCTGGCTCAAACCTGGAACCTTAATGGAAGTCAGCAGTGTTAACCCCTGTGCCACCGTGATGACCAAGTTTAAGTTCCCCATTTTAAAAAAAGATTTGAACTTTATGCCTGGCATTTGTAGTTTTTGAGATACAGTGATTTGTGTAAAGGTAGTCAAAACAGGCAGAATTTTCCCCTTCGGGTGCAAGAGGTTAATGGTACAAGTTTTACAAGTTTACAAGTTTTGAACATCTGTTTTTTATTTATAGCCTGTAGGACTCATTGACCAGAACACATACAACTCATTTTTCAGTTAAAAAAGCACAATTTTTGGATTAGTTTGATTATAACAAATAGTCAGATGAAACATATTCTGTTATTTATCATGCGCCAGTTTGCACAAAAGGACATTTGTTTTAAAACCATATCAAAGTTATACATTGTGGCACAAAATAATACCTGCTGTGTTCTTGGCCAAAACTCGCCAGTATAATTTTATTAGAAAAGAAAGGGCATAGGCCCAAAACTTCACATGAAAACTCCATCAAAATACAAAATTAACTGAACATATTAAAAGAAAATAGTAATAACAACAGCATTACTAACTATTGCAAAAGCATCAAAATGTTCACAATCTGTCAATAACTTTGTGTGTTCTCATTCACTTCTTGGATAATAGCACCCATAATGTAAATCATTAGATTTTTAAGAGATGACATGGTTTAAGGTTAGGGTTAGGGTAAGGGTTAGGCAAGTAGTAGTTATGATCAGGGTTAGAGTGACTCTCTAAGAAATGAATGGAAGTCTATGTCATATCATCTGAAGTCACAAAGACATGACACTGCATGTATGTGTGTGGGAGAGAAAGGGCATACATCTGATGAATGGGCATGTGCCTGAACTCAGTTTCCTACATTAACCCTTTGATGCATGAGACCTTTCCCCTTGGTCAGTAGGGGGTGTTCATCCATCCAGGCGTGGATGCCTTGTGAAAGCTTGGAGGGGGGGGACGGGACTAAAAAACCTCACGTATGTGAGGCATATGCATCAAAGGATTAATTGTCATCTCTCTCAGTCATTTCTAATAATTGGTCTTTTTTGACCAGGATTGCTACAGGTACAAAAGTTAAATGAAAAATTTTATGAGGATTTCAAAATTTATTTTGTATGTTCAGATGCGTGGACAAAGTCATGGAACCTTATGACAAGATAAAATTTTTTGCATTTTTCAGAGAGAAAAAAAAAAGAGCTAATTCGTCCAAATCTACCAGAACACAAAAGGGTTTAGGGACTGGGCACTGAAAACACCAGTTGGTCAAATCATGGAAGCAGAAATTTCCCCCATTCGTCAATTGTGCAGGTCTTTAGCAGCTAAATTGTATGAGGCCTTCATTCTTGAACAGTATATTTTGCTTCATAATGCAATATACATTTTCAATTGGAGACAGACTGAAGGACTGCAGTCAAGCCAATCTAGCACCTGCACTCTCTGCTTTCTAAGCCATGAACTTATATCCTTGCAGAATGTGTTTTAGCATTGTCTTGGTGGAAAATGCAATGACATCCCAAGAACAGGTGGCATCTAGATTGCAGCATAACGCTGAAAAAAGTGAGGGTTATCCTTGCCATCTATGGTCTAGAGAATGCAGTAGCTGTTTTTTTGTGATGGTGCGTTCAGGAACCATATGCAAGAGAGGGAAATCAAAAAAAAAAAAGTATGCCTTTAATGAGGTCCGGGTCAGTACCAAAAAACACAAGAATTGCCAAGCCACAAAACGAAATCCAAAAACAGAGTGGACTAGACAGGCCGGGGTCAGAACCAGTAAAACAGATGAGCAAAGGTACATAGACAGTAGGCAAAAAGTCATAGTTGATAAACAAGGCAGAGGGTCATACACAGGTCATCCAAACACAGGAATTGTGGTCATGCAAAAATAGGTCTAAATCCAGAAAGACAAAAAAGGGCAATGGCAAGAATCTTGGTCGGACGAAACAGTCGAAGGAAAACAATACTCAATGGCATACAAAAGGCTCTGCACAAAGAAATATTGATCAACGTTCTGACAAAGTCAGAAGAGCAGTGAGGACTCTTAAATAGACGGGAGGGAAGTCACGTGCTATGCAGGGAACAGGTGAGCTGGATCAGACTAATTACAAAGGGAAGAACACATGAGGGAAATCCTAACCACGAACATTGGTGAAAGCCAAGACACGGATGGGAATCACGCACACAGCCTATGACATTTAAACAGCTCCGGTCGAGGAGTTCTAAGTGCACAGACAATGAGTGCAGGAAAGCAATTAAGCACGTGTGAGAGATCTCGCAGAAACGCAGAGGGAGATAGGTAAAGCTGAGCAAGAGGCGGAGACTAGAACAGGGCGATTGCTGAGAGGGAATTAGTACTAATTAGTAGCGGTGCAACTTTACAGATTTAACTAGAGTGCTCGTTAGTGAGTTAGTAATATATACATGGATTAGTTGGGTTAGTAGACTATGATACAAAATACAAATGTTAGTCTTGTTAGTAATCAGAACAGCAAGGCGAAGGAAGTAAACGAGAATTGAAGGAATAATATGAAACACCAGAAACCATTGAAATCACCCAAAGCATGTGAGCACACAGACCAGGGAGACGGACTGAACCAACTAGATGACAAGACAGGGGATACAAGTGCAATGGAACTGAAAAATGGACTGAACAAAAACCTGAGAAATACAATAACAAAAAAGAATAAATAAAAGACAAAATCATGAACATAGAACATGAACATAAACATGAATACAAAACCAAAACCATAACACTTTTTTCCCAAAAATAACTCGAAGTGTTGACTTGGACCATAAAACACACTTCTACTTGGCTACCTTCCATCTCAGTTGACAGAGAAGTTGGCAATGTAGTTTATGTGACTGAATATATTTTAAAGGAAAAGTTCACCCAAAAATGAAAATTCACTCATCGTCTACTCATCCCAAGGCTTATCGAAGGGTCCATGAATTTGTTTATTCCTAAAAACACTTTTGGAGTAACAAAAAAAAAAAAACAGCATTGAAAACAAATCCAAATCAATTGAAGTCAACAGAGACCACTTTTTCAAACGTAAAAAACAACATTTAAAACGCACAAAATGCCTCCATACTGCTTGTGCGGCATAATCCAAGTGTCTGTAAGCCCCGACATTCAAATTTGACTCGTAAAGACGTCTTTTCACAATATTTTTAGCTTTAATGTCCATAATAGCCACCTTGTTCATTTTCACGGAATAAGTTAAAAATTCAAGACCTCTAGCTACGGTGGCCAAAGAGGGCAAAAAATTCTGCAACGGCCCTAAGCATCTCCAATTGGAGAAACGTGCTGCAGTTTTGAATGTTCGTATTCACTGACTGAAAAGCGCATTTGTATGGTCGGCCAATTTAGCGAGGTCAACTTCTTCCGCGAAAATAAACAGAGCTCTTAGCTAAGTGGCTACACTGGATATTTAGGCCAAAATATCATGAAAAGACGTCTTTACGAGTCAAATTTGAATGTCTGGGCTTACAGACACTTGGATTATGCCGCACGAGCAGTATGGAGGTATTTTGTGCTTTTTAAATTATGTTTTTTACGCTTGAAAAAGTGGTCTCCATTGACTTCAATTGATTTGGATTTGTCTTCAATGCTGTTTTCCTTGGAAACTCCAAAAGTGTTTTGAGGAAGAAAGAAATTCATGGACCCTTCGATTAGCCTTGGGCTGAGTAGATGAGTGAATTTTCATTTTTGGGTGAACTTTTCCTTTAAGTGCAACATGGGCTATGAGCTTATATTACATGTATTACCATAATAAGCCAGTAGAGTTCAGACCCAGATTGTAGGCTAGTGAATGTAGATTGGGCAAACTGACATGTAGCCATACAAACTGAGCTCCCTGTAATAAAATGACACATAAAAGTGACATGCCACTCCCCTCATAAATGTCCACACATGACAGGGATAAGTACAACAGGCGGAGCATTTATAACAAAAATCCTGCAAATTTCAAGTATCTTTAAATGTTCAA